TAATTTGAATTAAGTGTTATATAAGAATTTTATGTAAAAACCATTTTTAAAATAATAAAACAAATTAACCTCCAAATGATGTACTACTTATTTAGCCATTATATGCAACATTAAAGAATCCAATACATATTAGCATAATAATAACTAAACTGAAGTATTTACAGTTTTCCTTGACACCAAAATATATACATACGTCTTTTTACTAATAACATTCATAATGAGTAATCAATTACATTATAACACAGAAATGGAGTCAGAGTGACATATGTAGGTAACATTAATTATATAAGTTGTCTTACTATTAAAATAAAAATAAGAATGCACATATATATGTGTACAAATTTACAGAACCCATATTATCCAATTTTGTAGTGTTACATAAAAGGAACATTTCAGGATCCATTATTTCATTTGTCTACAGGTATTTTATATAAGAATCTTATATTTCTGTGTGTTTTATCATCACTTAATTTCTAAAGCGGTTTGTCTATATTGACAAATATATTAATTTAATAAATGAAGGTGTTGCAAATTCCTAAATTTATATATTTAAATGCAATTGATTTAAAGGTATCATTAGAAAATAATTATGTGTACAATTATCTTCATTTCAGAGGTTAATATTTTTACTTTTTATGCACTATAATTATATGATAATACACATTAATTTATAATATTCATAAATGCTATTATTTGTACTTACAAAAATATAATAGTATAATATTATCATACAAAAGTGAAAAAATTCATTTACAAATATGTTCAGTTGTATATATAATGCACTCTCCCGAATTGATTATTTAAAGAAAGAAAAGAGAATGACTACTATAATAAAAATTAATAGATAGAAAATGACTCATATAACTGTTAGCATTGTTCATGATAACAAGAGTAATAATGAAGAGTGCATAATTAAGATTTCTGAATATTCAGAAGAAATTGAAAATAAATTTTTCAATTTGCATCAAAAAAAATGTACAGATCAATGCGCAAAATGCTATGAATTAATTAAATATATAAAAAAAATAAAATTTGATTTAAGCGATTGCAAAGAAAATTTATTTTATGCATTTTAAGGACAATATATAAAGGTTTTGACTAAAAAATGTACGAATACAGAATCTTATGATGAAAATATTGTTCAATTAGAATTGGAAATCGATGAGTGTCATAAAAAATGTGAAAAAAAAACCGAAACTGCAGACAAAATTCAATCACAATTATTATCAAATGTAGAACAACCTGAAGCCATATTACCGAAAAAAACGAATGCACAAGAAAGAAATGGAGAGCAGATACACAAGGAATTATCTGTTAAAACAGGCGTATCTTCTCAGGACCAACATGATTTCCAAATTTCATCTGATACTATGGGAAATGGAAATCATGCATATGCATTACCAGATAATAGTGTGTGTAATAAGATTGAGCACGCAGAGTCATCAACACAACATTTATCCTTCTCATGTCATACACCAAATAGTTTATTGCATACAAAAGCAACTTTTTCATCTGTGGAAAGTGGCAACGAAAGTGAAATTGGTTTAACTGATATTCCTGAAAAAAATCTTTCAGAAATGCACCCTCCTCAAAAAGAACCACGTGAGAATACAGATACAAGTAGTATATCTGAAAATGTTATGCACGCTGTGAATGAATCTTATAATGATAAAACACTTCATGAAGTTGAAATGAGTAATGAACAATCCGTCCATGTAATTCCAAGTACTCCTTCTCTTAATAATAAGGAATCTCTTTGTTCCAATGTTATATGCCTCATGTTCCTTCCACTGAAAGTACTAGAACATATACTTTTAGCAATGCACATATTAACCCAGATTGTGTAACGCATAATAAAAATTCTGTTACTGTGGTATTTCTCTATGTAGGAACACAGGATGAAAATACTATTAAGAACCCACAGTCTATACAAAATAAAATAGGTATGACAGCAGGCAACGGCAAGGTGAATAAGATGAGCCAGATCCATACGGCGAATAGTGAAACTCATCCAAATAAAGAACAGTCAGGTAAAGATGATCATGTTCATGTAGTTATTTTACATCCCAGCTATGAACTATCGAAACAAAATTAGCCAACTTCTGAATGCAATAATTATCCACGTGTTCAAAAAAATATTTTCGTGTATAATGTTATTATATAATCCAGGATACACGCGTAAATAAGTAAATTTATGTACATTGCAAATGTCACTTAATATACATTCTGTAACATTTAATGTAATATCAGGAACATCTGACAGTGATGATTCGTCTAGAATAAGTACATTAGAAGAGAAAAGGGATATTAGCTTAACTAGGTCAACGGAAAGTATAGGTATCGCAGGACATGTTACTGTACTAAAGGAATCTAATGTAAATCAAGGAATACCATATAAAAAATATATCTTAATGGTTTTAGTACCCTTAGCAATTATTCTGTTATTGGCACTTCTTATAAAGGTAAACTAAAATATATTTCTATTAAAATTTGTTTATGTATTTTCTCTTTACTTGTAAAAATAAAATTCTATTGTAATAAACTTTTTGTTCTTTTCAGTTCACCTCATTAGGAATGCTTTTTGTTAGGAAAAAAAAGAAAAAAAAGAAAAAGAGGAAACAGATGAATNNATAGCCATTTTGAATATTAAACATTATGATAAATAGACATTTTAAAAAATAAAAAAAAATATGCTTGGATTAAACTATTAAATAAAACACACATTAGTAACTATATATTAGTAATTTATAATTAATCACTTCTTTGGGGTCAAATTATGATGGAAATTCTAACGTTATATTTTTAAAATTTATAGTTATAAAAATTAAACATCTTAATATGTATGACGTCAATATAACCATAATTATAGTTTGCATATTAGTACATTTTGTTAATTTTTTCTAAAATTCATTCATTCAATGAAATTCTTTTGTAATATTTTACAATAAAAAAATATTTTGTTTAGCAAATGAATTTATATGTGAATTTATTTGAATTCTGATTAATCCATTTGTTATATAGAAGTTTTATTTTGTATCTATGTATATGGCGTAAGCTTTTTTTGTAGTGAAGTTTAAAACTAATGTTTTTTGGTTCTAAAATATAAAAGTAATTGTTTTTATAATGCAGGGAATATTTGTAAATATTTCTACAATGCATTATTTTCAATGTCTTCTTTGTTCTAACAGAAAATAAAACACCATGTTATATCAAAATATGAAACGTATTCAAATTAAAAATTGAGTTACAATATAAATAACTTAATTAAAATCAAATTCTACAAAAAAATAATCCTTAAAAATGTTTGAAATATCATTTATCCTACTAATGTCTCAACAGGTCTAAGATGTAAATATACATTTCAGTGAAAAACTTTGTGAATATAACAATTTTAAATGTAACAAATTTTTAATAAAATTTGATAATAATGAAATCACTGTAACTTATTATAACAAAAATTGAAATATAATTATAAAAATTTCAATCCAGTAGACATATTCGGTAGAAAATATATATTGTAAGAATAGAATATATTTAATAATGTGCATATATAATGGTAATTATTTAATATTATCATTATTAAAAACACGACATTCCATGTGGGACACAATTGCATTATATTACACCTGTAAATATTTGTCATATTAAAGTAAGCAACATTTTTATCAAAATACCTAATAATCATAAACAAAACATATTATGCTTATTGTTTAAGATTTTTTTTTATTTTATTATAACATAATTAATGTCTTGCTAGATTGTGTTAATGAAAATAGCGAACAGCAGATATATTATTTTTTTTTTCATCCCATTATATATATTAATTCTATCGAACATATTATTTAGAGTTATATATTGCCACTACAATTTTTTTAATATTAGTTCAGTTATGTAAATGTACATATAAGTTTTCAGTTTTTTAAAACAAAATAGCATATTGAAATAATTTATTAATTTACTGTATCACATGCTTCTTTAATGATAGATAAAAAAAACGAAAAGTAATCTTGTTATCACTATTATATATTTGTTTCGCTGTTATAGAGAATATAAGAATTACTTTGTTACAAGTGTTTTTTACATGTGAACTCATAAAAGAACAGATTAAATTCCAAAATTTAAGATATGTATACATACTTGATGGTTAATCCATATTTGTCAAATGCTCAAAATAATTTTTCCAACTATATAATAATCTACGATAAAATTAACAAAGCCTTGTCAAGAATGATATATATACCCTACATGGTTGTGTAAAATGGAACTAAATGAAATTTAAATATTAAATATTCAAAGTTTTATATTACGATTTTCTCTTTTTCTTATGCAAACACAATAATATTTCTACTATTTCCTTATCTATAATTAAAAATGTAGTAATACTTAAATGTTCTTTTATTTGTGTGGTCCTCAAAAATATAATTTTATATAATGATGTAAATTATGGTTATGAGTATAATTTTAGAAAAATATTACAATGAAAACCTTATATATATAATTATATATTTATTTTGTATTATATCCATTTCTTCAATGGATATATTGGTATTTATAATGAAAAGATAAAAATAGATAAAAAATTCAAAAAAAACGGTTAAACATATATTAAACACTGATTCAGAATATACTAATAGTAATAATAAAAGGAAATATATTCAAAAGGATCAACAAACATTTAGAGAACAATTTCTTTATTTTAATAAAATGATACTAAATAATTTTAGAAAATATATTTACATATAGTAAATCATATAATAACAATGTTAATGCTCTTAACAATAAAAATATAAAACACATCTGCACCTTAATTAATTAGGATCTTCTACATTTGTTGAATATTTTGCAGTTTTTTATTTATATTATACATATTTTAAATTAAATGCTATATTAAGTTTACTTTATGATTTCGTTTATTTAATATATTAGAGAATTTTAGAAGAGTACTGAAAAAGTAAAAAAAGTTTTCATTTCTATATGAATATTGCGTGTTTTATAACACTTTCAGCTTACAAATCATTCTTCGACTATGCATAAGTATATTTTATACCATATTGATTATATAATTTTTTTCATCATCATTTGTAATGAATTATAATCTTTGTTGTTTTTTAATAAAACAATATTATCTCCTTCAATGCAGAAAAAAATAATATTACTATAATTTCTTGAAAATCAATAAACTCTTATTGCTTTGTTCACGTATTTATAAGAGATGTAACTTGTATATATGCATATAAGCAATTTTTACTTCAAAATTATATATACAGAAAAATTATAATATACTACGTAATTATAATATAATTTCGAAAATTATAATATATTATTTTTATATGTTACTCAAGAATTTAGTTTCCCATAATACTCCAAAGTACTCTGCAATTCATGATTTTTTTATGTATTTCTCTTAAACACATTTATTAATAATAATACATTGTATTTATGATATATATGTGACAGTTTTTTCGTATAATAAAATCAATGCCTTCATATGTCGGTATATGTTTATTTTTTACTCAAGTTCTGCATGGATATATATTTATTATTTATTTAAATAATATTGTTGATTGTATATTGACATATAATGTCATAAAAACGAAAGTAATAATTATTATCCATAAATGGAACAAGTAAGGAACAATAAAAAAACCAAATAATATATGCTTATATGGACGTTACTATTAAGATAATATATTATTGTTCATAATTATAAAAATTAATAAATATATATCATTGTTTCATGTTTAAATATTTATATTAGTAAAAAAAAAGCACTCGTAAAATTGTAATTATAGTGTATAAAATGTTAACACACAAGAATTCTTATTACAAAGAAATAAATAATATATGTAAATACATTAAAAAAAATATATATGCGTTATAAAAGAAAATAATATTAAAAAAGCGAATATACTGTAAAAAATGTAATAATAATTAATATTATGTAATAACACCAATAAAATATATACATTACATTCTGCAACTTATATTTCTGAACTATATTGTTATTATTTTAATAAATATATATATTACTTTAAACAATATATGAAAATCAATATAATTATAAAATGTTCATTAGAGTATAGTAAACAATTGATAACTCCAATTATAGCATTTAATTTATAAATATATATATACAATTATATTATTAAACGTGATGCCATCAATTACTATTATTAGAATCTATGTTATAAAAATGAATTCTTGATAATTTAGATAGCTTATTAGTAAAAAAAAATAAATTGAAAAACATTTTATTTATAATTTCCTATCATATTTTTATATATGATTAGCGAAATTTATAATCTCAAAACTATTAATATTAAGCACTGAATATTAAAAGTATTCATGAAAATATATTCATAAGTAAAGTCCCTGAAATTTAAATCTACATATATTTTAACTACGTCCATTAATATGCAATAGATTATGACAACAAATGATATCTAAATAAATATTTTAATATACATAGATTCTTGAAATATATATTTCATTAATTTACTTATTCTGTATAATTTATTACTATACCGATGCTTGATATATAGTATTATTACAAATATCTTGTTTATTATCTGAACTATAATAATGTTCTAATATCATAAATATTATTTTCATAATATCTATTTATTTCAAATGATATTTTCATTATTCCAAAAGAACATTTTATGATATTTTAATATATATGAATAACACAAATAAAAACATGAATTCAAAAATGTTTGTAAAACAAAGATAAATATATGATTTAATAAATATAGTCTGAATATAACAATTATTAATATATAATAAGCACACAAAAAAATATAGTATATTGAAGAATATATTCTATGTTACGAATTCATTTACATATTATATAATGACTGAGACAATGGATGAGAATCAAAATGTCTGTTTCTATTAGTTTTACTTACTATATTTTTTTATTAATCATTTAAAATACCGATATTTAAGAAATTTAAGAAAAATTTAATTCTTTAATTATTATTTTAAATTTACATATGCATAATAATATTCCTTTTTAGTTCAATTTTAAGAATATATTTCCTGAATGTATAAAGGATTTTAATGATATTGAAAATGATATTGGAAATAATATATATACAAACGTTTTTTATAAGGTTTGCTTGCACATTAATACACAATTAGGGTTATGGGGATCTGGCTTTAATAATATTTGTGTTTATTTATGTAATTACTTAAAACATATAATAACTAAAAACCCCAATGATGTAAGATCATATTGTATATATTTCAATTATGTGCTAAAAAGTGAACTAAAATATTTAGAGACATCATGTATTGGAGAAAAAGCATGTTACAAAAAAATGATAGAAGTGTACAAAAAGAATGGAATGTATGATATGGATATATGTTATTCTTATGTAAACAATCTTCAAGATAATATATATAAAATATTGCATATCCTAAACGCATTATATAATTATCATGAAAAATTAAAAACTGGTAGTATAACATGCACGTCTGATAGTCAATGCTTTAAGAATTATACTGATTTTATACGAAAATGTAATGATATGAAAAATAAAAGTTTAAATAAAGTTATGGAAATTGTTAAGGATAAATATAAAGATTACATTAAGAACAATGATGATTCCTCAGATTTCTCAGAACAATTAGATACCTCCTCAAGGATAAGTACACCAAAGTTAATTTTAATTATATGTATTATTACTCTTGCAATACCATTTATTGCTTTTATTCTGTATAATGTTAATAATAAAATAAATATATATATTGAATATTAGATTAAACATAATATTACATATAATTGTAATAATATAAATCAAAAATTAATGTACTCAATATAATTTCTTGTTTTATTTTTATCATCAGATTACACCATGTCGTTTATATTTAGAAACAAAGATAAAGATGTTAAAAGAACAATGGAATAAAAAAAGTAAGCATAATTTAAAATTATTGAATTCCTTTGAAAGCGATTTTGAAGAATTAATAGATAAGTGTTCCCCAATAGCATATAACGCATTACGCTACTCCTAAAAAAGGTATAGGAAGGATTAATAACAATACTGTTTTTATTTTAATAATAAAATAATTTATTAAGAATGAAATTGTGAATAAATCACAAAAAAATAAAAATAAATAAATATAAGTCAAATATATTTCATAAAATAAATAAAATATAAAAAAAATATATCATAATATATTTTTAATTCAAGTTGATAAAGATACACTAAACTTTGAATGTTTGCTCAAGAATAAACAATTATGACAATATTTTAAAAATATAGGTAATTAATATTTAATAAACATTCCCTTAAATTATTATATTTTGTAATTAAATATACAAGAACATATATGCTGAATTTTTATAAACAAAATATATTCGTAAAATTACATTTGTAAAAGAAAATAATTCTCTGTTATACCCATAAAAAAATAAATATAATTGTATTTATGTTTAATAAAATGAATACATAGTAGTATAATGATTAGTATAATATAGTAGAACACACAGTTGTTAATGAAAAATTTTATAATTATATTTTGATGTACACACAATGCTTCATGAATACAATAATATTTAATGAATAATAGATACTATAATTAAAATATTTTATACATTTACATATATAAATAATAGAGACAACCATAGGATACAATTATTCCTATATTTATTTAAATTATACTAAAAGATATATTTAAAATACATTATTAAAAAAATATGAATGAATAATACAGCAAATTCTGCGAAGAATTAATATATGAAATATACCATATAACCGTATTATTTACATTAAATCATAATTATATAATTGTGTCCATTAAATAAAATCCATAAACAACTTTACATATTTAAATTATATAATATTTTTGTTTGGATTATACGTATTTTTTTTTATATTATAATATTTAAAGGAACAATATATTTATAAAAAATAATGCACATATAACAGAACAATTAAAAGGTTAGTTGCATTTATTGTTATCATAAATTTAATAAAAAGTGTCTCTTAAAATTAGTATATGTAAAAATAGTATAAAAATCCACATATAAAATTTGTTTAGTACTTAAATATTGAATTTATCATAAAATAATTTATCCCAAGCTAAAATGATGGAATAATAAACTTAAACTACAACGAAAACTAAAGTGAGATATATTAATAAAAAAAATTACTAAATATAATATATAAGTATTATATTTGGTTGTACTAAAAAAAAAAATATTCCATATATATACAATGGATTTTTTGTATTTCTTAGTTAATTAAAAATATAAAAAATATTTATAGTAAAAACAACAACATAATGAGTTTGTACTGAATAACTGAATTAAATAAATATATGTGTTATATATTAAATTTACATTGTTATAAAGATTATCCACCAAATAAATTTTTATAAGACGCATAATGTATATATTTTTTATCACTTTGTATTATTAAAATCCAAGAAAAATATATTTATTTCCAATAAAATATACAGACCATAATATAAACACAATATATTAATACTTATATAAATTTTTCAAAAAAAGATAACTGGTATCAATCTATATTTTATTTCATTTTTATAAGGTATTTTTTTATTTAAATGATTTTTTGGTTAATTTTTATCACTTCTTAAACATTAAGAAATAGAAGAATTACAATTGTGTAATGTTGCATGCGCTAGTTTTATTGTGCTGAAAATCATTATAATATCAATATTTTATAACATATCATATAGATCACAGTTATTATATTGTATAGGTAAATTATAAATGATTTACATGATTCATATTCCAGTATAATAACTTATCTTTTCCTTAAATTACATACACTATTATGAATTATTAACTCTAAGGTATATAAAATATTACTAACATATTCTTAAAATTCATGCCACCTTCTATTAAAAGTTTTTTATATTATACCTTTAAATATAGAAAATAACAGAGCAAAAAATCTTATAAAAATACATTATATTGTGTAAATTTTTCAACTTCATTATATTTTCTATTTCTACTATTAAGTATATGTGTACATATTTTTATTTTTAATACTACATATTATTATGTAATTTTAAAGTAAATTATAAATTAATAAACATAAAATTTATATTTAAATACTTAGTATTATGAGTTTTCCTTATTTTTTAAATTGATATATGGAATATTTAATAATAATTGTACATATAATTATATAATAAATAAATACGTTAATATATATTGATGTAATTCTTCCATAGAGAAGTGAAAATACTTTACTAACTATAGCCACAATTATCACGAAATATATATAATATATATTAAATTTATTATTATTTTAAAGAAAGCATTTTTATAATGAATTATAATAGGTAAACAGAGTTATAATTATCGCTTTTCTTATATTAAATATTATAAACAATATAGCATAGTAAAATTACACTTGTTATAGGATTAATTAATTTAATTCGTAATATTTTATAAAGCTAAAATTTGAAATTTATATTATATATAATATGAAATATGCTGTATTTTTTAAAATTAAAATTTATAGAATTATTTTTTCAAAAAATGTTATTTTCAATTCGTATAAATAAATAGTACTCTAAAATATTGTAAAACAAATTTGATATTATTATTTTTAGCGTTTACATTATTCGAAATGATGTAATATCTATGATACATTTAAAATAAATAAAAATAAATAAGTAAATGTATAATCTTTCATATATTACAAGCGTATATGTAAATAAAAATTTTTTTATTTTCATAATTCATTATTTATTTATTAAAATAAATATTTTAGTTTAAATTTATATTACTCGATATTTAATTAAGTAATAACACGTTGAAAACATAATATTAATTAACGTGTTCAAAAAATAAAATATATAGGTAATCAAATATATAAAATATGGTATATATATAGACATAACTATATAAAAATATATATATATATATATAACATAACAGATTACAGTTAATCATTTATTAAATATTCTGGCTTTATTAATTAATTATTTAAGTTATAATATTTAATTTTAATATAGTAGAAATATAAAAAAAATGAATTCTATTATAACATTAATAATGATATCTTCTATAATATGACAATATATATATGGAAATAATTTTGTCTAATTTCATCAATAATGTTAATTTAATGTTAAATAAATATATCCATAATATATATAGAAAATAACATATATAATTATAAATAAACATGATTAAATTTTATTGTCACATCATAAAAATATTGTATAAAAATCTAATAATTATTATATTAATGATACATAATATTTGTTATATTAAAAAATTAGCATGTAAATTGATGAAATTAATAATTATTATATCCCAATGCAATTAATAATATAAAAGGCTCTAATATTAAATGTTTAATTCTGAAACATATAAAACATAGAAGAATGAAAAGCATTATAATTAATAAAATAGAAAAGAACTGTAATAAAAAAAATAATAATAGTAATTATAAAATATACATATAAGTATAAGAATTAGTTTAAATGAATTATTTAAAAATAAATATATAATATATATTTATCAATAGAATATATATATATTTAAGTGAACTCGTGTATATATAAAACTCTTTACAGCTTAATATTATAGCACTATTATATGCAAATAAATATTAATTCCTCAATATGTACACACAATTCAACTTAAATATAATATATTCCATTTACTAAAATCTGCCTATAGTAGTTTTCAATATATTATTCCTAATAATATAAACCATAATAATAAATAGGAATGATTTCTGAAAATTTTGTAACTATAACATGAGGCATCGAATGATAAATACTGAATAATTTTAAAATTTACATTTGTGTTCTCATAAATTTAATTATTATATGGAATTCATGTTCATATTACAACATCTAAAAAAAAATGAAAAGAAATAAAGTATCACTAATTATTATAATATATATAATATCATTATAATTATTGTATATTTCGTTTTCTATATTTTCTGTAAACATTTTTTTTTATTGAACAAATCATTATTGTCGCATTATTATTTTTTATATATAATAGCATGCATATCTAAAAGAATTTCCATATTATGAAGAAATTATGGAACTATGTAAAAATAAAGGTGAAGAAATGTATAAAGAAAAATGTAACGAACTTGAAATACGTGGATTCGGTACACTTAATGAACAAGTTAAATATAATTGCCCCCAAATTATGTCGTACTTATATAAAATCTATGAAGATAATAATAATAATTTTCCTGAAGCTGGTTGTAAATACCTTAATTATTGGATATATCATGAACTTCTTCAGAAGAAATATATAACTGGAATATCATCGCTATATATCACTTTGTTCTCGCTACTTCCTTCTTTTTATAATTCTATACATGTGAATAAATTTCTAACAATGTATATTGTTGACACTGATTTGTCAAAGGTCACGGCCATATATTATATATATAAATGTCTTAATATTGTAAATGATAACCAGAGAAATAATAAAGATCAGGATTTTTGCAATGCCATAGAAGTTATTACAAATGAGTATAAGCCCAACATACACACAACATTTAGTGGATTTTGTGAAAACAATGTAATACCGTCTTGTAAAAATACAATGGTTATCACTATTATAATTACAATTTTTGTAATGTTTTTGATACCTTTTTTCGTGATGATTATGTACAAGGTTGATCATAATATTATATACATATAATATAAGTAAAATTTTATAATTAATTAAAAAATAAAGTTTTATATATTATAAACAAATTTTCTTATCTTTTAACGTTCTTCTTCATTTATAATTTAGTTCACTCCATATGGACCATATTTGTCCTATGGGCTCCAAAAAATAAAAAATATGTGGAATAATGTGAACAAAGAATGGGACATAATAGACCATCCAGGAATAATTAATTTTAATTCAAGAGAGAGAGAATATGATATTTTGTATCACTGAGACTAATATTACTATTAAATATATTATTTAAAAAATATATTATATTTATGACTTCGGGTTTAATATATTAGTAAAAATACGTTACTATTGTAATTAATATTTTTGTTAGTTTTGTTCTTACACATGACTTTGTGGAATAGATAAATAATTTTATTTATATATATTTAAAAAAATATTAAACAGTATTGAAATACCCTATATTTAACATATTTTGATATATACTATGTTAAAATAAATAAAGGAATTTATATTTTTAAAATGAAAATGTCTAAAAAGAAATTTCTTTTCTGTGAACACAAATGTAATATGGCAGAAGTATTACTAATAAAATTATTTATTGATATTATTTTTTAAATTAATTATAATGTAAGTAATAAAAAATCATTTATTTGCGAAACATATATTATATCTCTTTATTTATAGATTTTATGGATTTTTATTACAATAATATTATATTTCTATATAATTAAGCATAATAATGGATTCTTTTGATAAATAATATTATAAATTTTTTAATAATATAATAACAATTCATGAAAATAAATTATTCTTTATACATAATTTACTTTTTATATTCATTATTTATTAAAATATGAATGATAAAATATTTTAATCCATATTATTCTTTTACATAATGGATATTTCATATGTAAACTTATATATATAGATATTTACTTTTTGTACAGTATTAATAATATATATTCATATTTATTAATCTATTGTGTATTTTAAATAATATAATATAAAAAATTTTTGTATACAATTATTTATAACCTAGATTGATATAGGAAATTAGGTAGTAGATATAGTATTCTTTTTTTGATATTTCCAAGATTTTAATATTCATTTTTATTGATCACGTATCCATGAAAAATCTACAATAAAATCATATAAACCAAAATATAAAAAAAAAATAAAAATCCATTATATGTATATATATATCATTTTAATAATGCATCAATACAATGTTTAAATAACATAAATATATTAATATTAAAAATTTTATGTAAACTTTATACAAAATGTCGAATGAATTATTATATGATAAAATAAAGTGGAATTATTTTTTTTACTGTAATTTTATCTCTAAAACTAGGCCGGAAAATTTACGGTAAAATAACACATTATTTTTTACACAATATTTTTATAGAACCTCTAAAGTTTTATGTTTCACTATATAGTATGTTACTTTTCAAATATATGTAATTATTTATAACATTACTATCCATACTACAAAAAAATATATATTTAGCCTATTAATAAATATATAATTTTGTTGATAATAAAATTTAATTAAATTATGAACGCTAGATATTAATTTAAATATTTTTCTATTACAACATTGCATAATAGATTCGATAAAGTAATATATTTTTCAATAATCTTACTTGCATAATCCTTTGAAAAAATGTTCTTCAATATATTAAATTATTGTGATTCTTGCTCTTTATACACATTTTTTATTGACATTGGAATTATTAGTTAAGCATAAAAACTATTTATATGTTATTATGAAAACTTTATATAAATACAATTAATAAAAAAATATTTTTATAAACAAATTAATATATTAGAATTAATCGAATTTATGCTCATCATTAGATTCTTTAATTTATGAACATATATAACACAAAACGGATGTGAAATTTCTCTAATAAACTTGTTGCACATTTATTTGAGTTCGTTATAAAAGCATAAAAAAATTTCCTTACAAAAAGTCTACCTTTTTTATAATTTAATAAATACATAATTTAATGTAAATATAATGAATGATTTCTTAAATACATATTCAATTAAATATATAGGTTTAATTGTTGCATACTACTCTATTTTATGTTCCTATTACATGTAACATCAACTATAATTAGTACATAATCAAGTTATATATTGAGTTATGTAACTAATCATCACAAAATAATTAAATTTAGAAATTGTATATTATCCATGTATAAAAGATCGTACTTAATTATTTTATAATATATATAACATTCAAAAAATTTCAAAATTTTAATCTTCTTTTAGAAACGTAAAACCACCAATTGAACCTATATATCTAACATTCATTAATCATTAATATTATCAATGTAATAATGACAGTAATTTTAGATGTATATGAGATTATTTACTATATTAAAATGTTATCGTTTTATACAGGTTCTCCAGGTGCTGTATGAGAATCTGAATCAAACATTTAGAATGTTCTATTAATATATGATATTTACATTATATCCATTTGCTCATAACATTATATAATTCAATTTTTAACCCATTTAAATCCTCCCTTTATTTATTTTATGCTTTTTCAGAATTTATTATTTTTTCTTCCAGGGTAATGATAATTTGTACCATACATAGATGCTGTTTTATTAACATAGTCTCCAGGTTATCATTATATGAATTCCATTTTTTAATAACTGTAAAATGCGACACATATGTACGTTTATTAAAATTCACCAACAGATATTCTATTATCATATAATTAGCAACATGGTACTCATTTTTATTGTATATTTTACATAAAATTTATATTATCCAATAAATATTATTATAAATTTTAGAAAATTAACTATGTTTTACTTAATATATACTAATAATTTAGAGCGAATGATAAAAATAATACCTCGAAATATTATTAGTTCCTGAGGACACATAAATTTATATCAATATGAGATAGTTTGAAACATTTTGAAATTTATGAGCCTAAAAAATTTTCAAAATTAAGGATTATCATAATAAAAATATATATATCTTCTTAAATGTTAACATTATGATAAACATCCTTATTTAAAAAGCATAATGTAAAAGCATAATTAAACATATATATTTTGCAATAATATACATGATATTTAATATAACGTCAAATAGAAAAAATTATGATAAACATTTAATTATATATTCATAATAAAAAACAAGAAATCTCGAAGTATAACTTTATACAATTTTATAACAGTAATTTTCTATTTTTTTTCATATAAAACAAAAATATCTACTAAAATATATTTTCTCACAAAATATTATATTAAAATATAAATAAATATTGCACTAAATTATATGGGCTTATATGTGACGAAACACTTATCTATTTACATATTATATTCTCCTCTGTGTTTCAATAAAGAATATGAGAAAAAGTAAAAACATACATATGAATATAATAATGATTATATTGTAAGCACAATTATCAATAAGAAAATTCATTAATTTATGCTTTTCTATTTATATAATCAAATATATATTGTAGGTATGATTTATTTTACACTTAGAAAATTTTATGTCGTGTTTGGTTAAACTATATCAAAAATGATATAATAAGTAAAAATAAGAAAAAAATTATCAAAAGTAATTAGGAGTTATTTTCTAAGAACACATGAAGAATATTTTTCTCTATATCTTGTATACTAAAATTAAAATTTTACATATATTAGGTTAGTTTATCTTTAAATATGTAAATTGTTGCAAAAGCTATATAATAAAAAGTTCATAACTATATATTAAACAAAGGTTAATTTGCAATTATATTATTGCATACAAATATGCGTAATAATTAAATTACATCATTATAACTATTACATAAATGCATATTCAAATAAATGTTTTATGTATATCTAACATAATGAAGATAAAATATATTATTACATTTATTAATTTGATTTCATCATAAATTAATGGCAATGAATAAGAATAATATGAATGCTTTATTGAACTTCTTGTATCAATTATAATTATAATAAAAGTAAAAATAATAAATAATGTTAATAAATGTATATCATTCATTCTTTATTACAACTAAAATGCATAACACAAACCAATTAACTTTAAACCATAAACCCTAAACCTAAATAATTACACATATATTATAATCTGTAAAAGCAAAAAATGGTCTTTTTTTTTATTGATGTATTTATACTATGTGTATAATTATAATGTATTCGAGAACAATATTTCATTAAATACATTTTTTTTTATTACATATGCTATTTTTCTTATTAATATAATTATTTTATTCAGTTTATCTCCAAGAGTATATATTATTTCTAATATGGAGGACAAATTTGTGCGTTTTAATTTTTGTAACAGAAATAATAAAATTGTATAAGTTCTACATTCCCTATAAATATTCACTGATTTGACAACAACTATTATAATTTTTTCTTTCTATTTTAGTATAAATATATAGATAAATTATCTAAGCCTAAATATGATATGTATAAGGATAAGGATGCAACAGATAAATTATATAATTATCTCTGTAGTATTATTAAAATAAAAGGATTTAGTGATTCTAACATAGAACATAAAATATTATGCAACCAATCAATGGCATATATATATCATATAGTTATTAAGAATATGAAGCAAGATAATGAATCTGAAAATGCCTATTGTTTATACTTCTATCATTGGTTATATAATAAATTTATGATAAAAGGAAAAGGAGAAATTCCCATTAAAAGTCTTTATGATATGATGTTACGAGTGCGAGCAAATACTACTCAATATTATAATATATGCAGTTATTATAGACATATAGCTAGTGAATATGATTTGAACAAATTCTCACACATGTATAGATTTTATGAATGCATTAATAATGAAGATGATGATGCGCATTCTACAGACAAGAATTTTTGTAATAAAGTTAAAGAAATTATAGATAATCATAATACAAAAATACAAAAAGAAACTATTATAGACTCTCCTATCATAGCTCCAACGACGTGTCGTGCTAATGCTACAAATTCTATTTTAATTACAATTATCGCAATGTTTATAATAAGTTCATTCTCATATATTATATATAAGGTACTATTATGAAATTTTTATCTATATGCTATAATTCTTTTACCCAATTATTTCAAAGAATTA